TTTTTTTTTTTTTTAGTGAAAAGTCTCGTCAAAACAAAGAACTATAGTTACTCTCAACCATTCGCATTATTAGGTAAAAAGACGAGTTCGATACTTTTAGAATAAATAAATTTTTTTCAATCAAGATTACAACTTACCCCTATGTTTTAGCCTACTGTGTCTTTAATTGGAAGAAACCTTCGCATTTAGGATCTTCAAAACATGGAGAGAAACGAGATGAAAGAGCAGGGTTTTGGCTCAGAATTGTTGAAAATTTTTAGCATCTTCGAAACACCAATCTAAGACTAATTTTTCTCAACGTTTTTCACAATTACCAATCAAAAAATTCCACATATTCACTAACGACACCTTACAGTGACTGAATTTTTTCAAATAAAATTTGGTGCTTTAGTTAAGCTAAAAAGTTTCATTTCAAACCATAAAACTATACGACTATTATTATGTTGAGTTTAAACGAAAAACATCAAGCTTACTGCGGCATAATTCTGGTTATATCATTATAATATTTTTCAGCAATTTCCTTAATGGCAATTATCTGATGATTTTTTCTTATTTTTAGCAGATAACAAATTAATTGTTTTAATGAGACTAAAGATTAAATTCACTCATACAACAACAAAATCTTTAAATTTTAAAAATTAGACATCAAGAACGTAACTATAAATGGTTTTTTTTTGTAATTTAATTTCTTTTAACACTAAGTTTGTTTAAAAGTAACTATGGTGCAGAAAACTAACGTTTGTAAGTTGTGACCATCCGCGAGGCCATGCTTCTTCTGTGTTCATATCATTCGGATACGGCAATTTATTAGGCGCTCGATCACCGTGACGCCAAATTGCTTGAACATAAACGAGCTCACGTTGTTCATCGGCAAAACATCCAATAATATAGGCGACAGATAGAACAGATGATAACAGTAACATAGTTCTCACTTTTTTTAAAGTTTACCTGAAGACTCTAGTAGTTTTATGCAAAAAAAGGAAAATTTAGTTGACAAAGCAAGTATCTGAAAAGCCAAGGACTGTTTTGTCTACACATAATATGAAGGATAGAATGGTATTTACTGACTGCATCTGCTGCAAATTTCTGGATCAGTTTACCAATACGGTTGAATCATTTAGAACCATCACTATAATATAATAATTCTCGCTTTAACAAAACAAGCGTGTTTTTGATCTATTGTCAAAAAATTTATTTTGATCTTTAAAGTTACCAAAACAGATTAATACACATATTATTAGTGCCATTAATTTACATATTATTGGTAAAGAAAGCTACATCGACTTTAAGTTATCTAACAGTAACACAGTCGGTTGCCTGACTTCTAACAATAATCTGTTGTTCCACCAATTTATAACCGCTTAGATTACCTTTTGATGTATGCTTTTCCTTTTGGGTTAAAAAATGCAAACGTTTCCGACATTTTTTTGGTCATCTTTTAAACAAACATATAGAAATGTAAACAAAACATTTTACTGATGAATAATCATTAACAGTTAGAAAAAATGACAATAACAAAAAAAAAAAAAA